AGCCTTTAAGACCCCAGACACTATATCTTTTAATAGCCAGGCATCATCCTATGTCTTCAACACGTCTGCTTATACACCCATTTTGTCTTCAGCAATTGTGTGTGTGGTGGGGGAGTGGGGTGAGCATCACAGAATGTCAATTTGTTAGAACAATGTGTTCTTGTATTGACTGGAGGTATGAGCTGAGGCCCAAGACCCATCTGTAGCTTCAGTGTATTGCTTTATAAATATATGTACATAGGCCAATACCACTATTGTTATGGATTAATGTATTGCATAAGTGCACACCTCTGTTAATCTCCCTACCTATGCCTTTGCTTCCTAGAGCTTGCCTCTGTTTCCTTTGGCCTCCTCCTGCCCCGCCATCACTTTCCCCTTCTTCCACCTCTTAGTGCTTCCTCTCCACTAGCTTGGTGTTGCTCTGATACTCACAGGATCTCTACCCGCTCATAGATGCTGGTTCCACTTCCCTAGTTGTTCCCCTGTCCACAATGCCGTCTGCTCACGACCCTCTTCTCCCCACCTACTTCTTCCCCCTCTACCTTCCGGGGCCATTGGCTCCATTGCCTTCTCCCCAGGCTTCCCTCCCATGGCCCAACCCATATAATTAGGCAACCTATCCATGTCCTAGTCTGAACAATAAGAAAACTTATGGTTGAAGAAAGAAAAGGGAAGTGAAAAAGATAAGAGAAAAGAAAAAACCCTAGATAGGTCCAGATCTGTTTGCTGGTCCCCATGGGACCCTCCCCCCTGGTCCTGGGGAGGTGGGGGGGGGCCCGGGGGATGCCCCTCCTTGTCCAAAGTCCATTCTTGGGACTTCTCAGGGGCTCTGTGCTCAGCTTTACTCTGATTGCTGATCTGTTATACTTCATTCTCACACTGTCTCCCCACAGTGTGTCCCCATTATTGTCCCGTCTCCGTATGCTCCAGTTAGGGGGCAACATGTCTTGAGCTGTTGATAGTCCCACAGTCCTCTCTGTGCCCCAGCAGCTCCATGCAGGGACCTCATCCTCTGGGCTTGGTGTGCCCATATGGAGTCTAGACCGACTGCCCCTTTCGCTTTTCCCTTGTTGGTTTGCTTCCGTCTGAGTATGGTAGGTCGGTTCCTTTCCCCACCAGAAGGTCTAGTGTCCTTCTCTGTGGCACACACTTCCAGGGTGGGGTCAGGCTGGTTCTGGTTGGGGCCGGCCCTGTAGTTCTGTCTTTTCATGGATTTCTCCACGTGTTACATTGACCTCCTCATTTGGCGCATCATGGTGGGGTCTGTATGCCCACTCCAATTCACTAGCTGTCTTAATAGATGACAAGAAAAGGCCTAGAAGAAACCGTCCATTTCCTCACATTGTTTTCTCCACACGACCACACGTGTTATGAAAACGCACTATTTCTGGGTGTCAGTCAAAGCTTTTAATTTTTAAAAAATTGTGTTTGATTTCATCTTGTGGTCCCCTGTGCTGATAATATTTTTTGCAAGTAGATCACCATGGCTTTCTTCCAAAGAGCCTTTGGGCAGGCTCAAACCATCAACCCTACAGTTAGCAATCAAGCACAGTAACCATTTGCACTACCCATGGACATCTTAAAAGGAATTACTAACTATAAAACCAGGTCATTGACATTGGGCCTCCACTCAAGTACTCCCTCAACACAAGAATACTTTCTTCTATTAAATTGGCATTCTATGATGCTCACCTTCCCGACACAACCGCTGAA